AAAAGGGAGATCTCAATAAATTGTAATTAATTATTTGTCTTGTAAACTATTAAATAATTTAATATGTATGTAATGAACAAAATAAGTAGAAAAAGGGAGATTTCAATAAGCTGTCAATAATTATTTGTCTTGTAAAGCATTAAATAATTTGAGATCCGCAACTACATCTTTTGGTGCAAAAATATATAGTGTGAAGTTTAGCCACTGATCCTGTCACCAGATTTTATGTAAATACATGTACACCAGTATTGATATGCACGCACGTGCAAAGTATAATGTTTTCCTGTAATTATATTTGTCTGTTACACAAATGATATCAGGCTTTATAACATCAAGTTGAAATTGCATAAATATAAATATTTTTAGTATGCATACACTTACAAAAAAGAGGCAGCTACAACAAAAAATACGATATTATTAATCATACATTTATGTACATAACACCAGTAAACAGACTTCTCTAAGCCGCGTCAAAGGCGTATAAATAAATATATAACAGTACAAGTATAGAAAAGTACGTTTCCACAGCCAGGACAAATTACACCGAGTCAGCCTCTTGGCCAGTCTGACGATGGGAGAGGTGACGGTTATATTTACATATTTAACTTAGAGCATACTTATAAATACTTGTACATGTATTTTAATAATACACCATCTAATAGCATCAATTAAAGTAACATGTTGTCACACATTAATGACATACAACACTATCAAATATCATTTAAGTAATGTATGATGCTAGCAAAAACAACTCGTATAAGTTTAACTGTAGCAAGAAATAGTAAAATCACGCAAAAAAGTATCAATAAATTAGGTTTCCTATAGCTCAAGTTGTAAATTTTAAATATTTATTTATAATAGGAAGATGAAGTTTACATATCTGCGATAATTTTCGCAGTATTAAACTAAGATACTTATATGAATGTTCAAGTTTAATATACAAGTGTGTTTTTCTTTGATCAGTGAATATTAACAGTGGTGAAAAATATTTTAGTAAACATTCATAACACATACATTGCAAGGTGTTTTAAATTCTGTTAAAGAATTAACATTTACAATCTTGTTTCTCGCATGTTTATAAACAAGGATATATCAACGCATTACCAAAAGTAAAACTGTTTACTAATTATAATAAGTGAATATTGACAGCATAGTACAGTATGAAGCATACAATGATATAATTAGGTGGACACTTTTCTAAAGTGATATGCTTCAATAGTTATCAGGTATGAGAAAGTCACAGGCGGTATATACTAGTTACTACGATATACTACGTATAGTACACTGTTTAACAAAAGTTTGTAACTATCAGTGAAAAGCTGCTAAGTCGTCGCTAGTTTTAATGCGGATAAGTTCAGTACAAGGATTGTCATCACTTGGATTTGCGCCCGATGATAATATCTTGACGAGTATCGTACCGTCCGCTGACCATGCACCTAGGACCTTTCCATTACCTGCTAGTTTTCTGGCTTCAAAAAGCAATTTGGAACGTTTCTGGGTCAGATGCTCGTTAATGTATGTGCCGCGTAATCCATGCTCGGTTTTTTTTAGATCGGTTCGTTTAATGTATAGCTTCTGGCGGGTTCTGTAAGAAATAAATTTTACAAGTATGTCTCGTGATCCGTTTTCTTTAGGTTTACCTACTCTATGGCACCGGTCAATATCATCAAGACTCAGACCAGTCTTAAGGGTGTTACAAATGTTCATCACGAGGGAATCTGGATTTTCTCCTGTACTTTCCTCAACACCAGAAATTCTAAGAAAATTACGTTTACTGTACTGGTCGTCGGCTTCACGTTGAGTTTCGAGAGTTTGTACTCTCTTTTCAAGACTTACGATATCCTTTCTGAGGGTAGCATTTTCAGTTTCTAATGAGTTTATTTTTGTCGTGAGACCCGATATAACAACCATCATATGATTTTGAGAGGGGAATGGGGCCGATATTCGGCCCCAAAAATGGCCAAACGAGTGCCCTGGAATGTGATAAATGTTACACTATTTTAGAAAACTTTTTAGATATTAGGAAGCTATTTAATTGTGGAAAGTTATATACAGCATATATATTTAATATTTTGAAAAATTCATTTTGGAAAGAATTGTTTTAGGTGCTTATGTAGAATTTGTAGAAAAAACACCGATTATTTCTATGGAAATGTTGTTAGAAATGCCTCTGTTCTATAACCAATATATTTTGATGGATAGAAAACCTATTTTTATAAAGACATGGTATGATAAAGGTATAAGGTTTATCAAAGATATTATGAATGTGAATGGTATTTTCCTTGAAAGGAATGAATTGGAAGCAAGATTAGGCATTAAAGTAAACTTCATTTACTATGAATTAATTACAAGTGCTGTCAAGAAATACAGAAGTGTATTTAAAGCCTATACTACTTTGTGTTAAAGGTACATCAGACATGTACAATATATACATAAACTAGAAATGTGTCCATAGGACACGGGTGCCCCCACCGCGACACTGTTCTGTCAATCTTTTTACTAAGTCAAGGGAAATAACTCTACAAATACTGGATAAATCCACAAGCCAAACCCCAGGTGCAAATCTAAAATATGCTGAGCAACCTGCCTATAAGGTTTATTGACTATGTCAAATCCTTTTTGAGAAACTTGCGACACAAGTTGAAAATTGCAAAAATTTTCTACGTGAAGGGCAATAACTCTAAAAATACTAAATAAATCCAGACGAAAATACCTGGTGCACAACTGCACATGCTGATCAATATTCCTGTAAAGTTACATGACTCTACGTCAAATACTTTTTGAGTTATGTGCGACACATGTTGAAAATTGCCAAATTTTACTAAGTCAAGGGCAATAACTCTGAAAATACTAAAAATATCCAGACGAAAATACCCAGGTGCACAACTACACATGCTGATCAACATTCCTGTAAAGTTTCATGACTCTAGGTCAAATACTTTTTGAGTTATGTGCGACACAAGTTAAAAATTGCAAAATTTTACTAAGTCAAGGGCAATAACTCTGAAAATACTAAAAATATCCAGACGAAAATACCCAGGTGCACAACTACACATGCTGATCAACATTCCTGTAAAGTTTCATGACTCTAGGTCAAATACTTTTTGAGTTACATGCGACACAAGTTGAAAATTGCCAAATTTTACTAAGTCAAGGGCAATAACTCTGAAAATACTAAAAATATTCAGACCAAAATACCCAGGTGCACAACTACACATGCTGATCAACATTCCTGTAAAGTTTCATGACTGTAGGTCAAATACTTTTGTAGTTACATGCGACACAAGTTGAAAATTGCCAAATTTTACTAAGTCAAGGGCAATAACTCTGACAATACTAAAAATATCCAGACCAAAATACCCAGGTGCACAACTACACATGCTGATCAACATTCCTGTAAAGTTTCATGACTCTAGGTCAAATACTTTTGGAGTTACATGCGACACAAGTTGAAAATTGCAAAATTTTACTAAGTCAAGGGCAATAACTCTGAAAATACTAAAAATATCCAGACCAAAATACCCAGGTGCACAACTACACATGCTGATCAACATTCCTGTAAAGTTTCATGACTCTAGGTCAAATACTTTTTGAGTTACATGCAACACAAGTTGAAAATTGCAAAATTTTACTAAGTCAAGGGCAATAACTCTGAAAATACTAAAAATATCCAGACCAAAATACCCAGGTGCACAACTACACATGCTGATCAACATTCCTGTAAAGTTTCATGACTCTAGGTCAAATACTTTTTGAGTTACGTGCGACACAAAAGTGAACGGACAGACGGACGGAAGGACGGACGGACGGACAAGGGTAAATCTAAATTCCCGCCACTAACGTGGGGGCACAAAAATGATGATATTCCAACTTGTCAGACTAAATGGAGCACTTGCTTTCAATTAAGTCAATCTGACTGGAATAAAATACATAGTTGGGTTTTTGACATTACCAATGATTCTCACTTGCAATGGTTTCAGACAAGACTAACACATAGAATATTAGCTACTAATTATCTTCTTTTGAAAATGAATTTATCTGTTACAAGTATGTGTACTTTTTGTAAATCAGAACATGAAACATTGTTACACCTATTTTGGGAATGCTCATTTGTCAAAATATTGATTACAGAAATTATTAAAATTGTTAGGAATCATGATGCTTTATTTGATATTGATTGTAAAACTTTTATATTAGGTTATACAAAAAAGAGCCAGTCAAAGTACAATATCCTATGTCTAGAGATAAAGAAATATGTTTATTTATGTAGGAGAAAAAATATTTTACCAAATATAGATGGATTAATTAGAAGCTTTAAATTAGCCTCTTCAATTATTGATGCATGTGCAACAAATACAAAAGATAACATAATGAATTGGACAATTGTTCAAAAAATCATTTAATTCTTTTTAGAGTAATGTAAATTTATAATTTATTAATATACAGCCATTGCTTTTTGTTAAAAGTTTGAGTATAAGAAACAACAACATAATGTTTTCTCTGTTCAATCTATGAGCTACCTTTCCTTTTTTTCTCTTCTTTTATTTCCCTTGTGATTTTGTTTGTATATTATTTTGTGTATGTACATTTGTATATATTATTGTGGAAATGTGAAGTTGTGATTAATACTCAATGACAATAATCAATAATTGTTACTAAATCAACAAATATTTGATACATGTGTATATATAATATGATAAATAAAATCTTTGTAAGGTATGGAGGGGGATGCCCTCGACCCCCACATACCCATGACGAGGGAATAAAAAAAAAAAAAAAAAATTATTTTCTATTAAGCCCGGTTAAATTTTTATCATCCCTTGTAACAACAAACAACTGGCATCATGAATTCATAACGATTGCTAACCTTATTGCGTGCCTTGACAAGCTAATAATACTGGTCTGCCATACACAAATTAGTTCTCTTAAAATCATGTATGTAAGTAACACATATACTGGTATATTAACTGGAAACAAACAATTGAAACTTGAAGATTTAC